AACGGTGATGTGAGAGGGAACGGTGATGTGAGAGGGAACGGTGATGTGAGAGGGAACGGTGATGTGAGAGGGAACGGTGATGTGAGAGGGAACGGTGATGTGAGAGGGAACGGTGATGTGAGAGGGAACGGTGATGTGAGAGGGAACGGTGATGTGAGAGGGAACGGTGATGTGAGAGGGAACGGTGATGTGAGAGGGAACGGTGATGTGAGAGGGAACGGTGATGTGAGAGGGAACGGTGATGTGAGAGGGAACGGTGATGTGAGAGGGAACGGTGATGTGAGAGGGAACGGTGATGTGAGAGGGAACGGTGATGTGAGAGGGAACGGTGATGTGAGAGGGAACGGTGATGTGAGAGGGAACGGTGATGTGAGAGGGAACGGTGATGTGAGAGGGAACGGTGATGTGAGAGGGAACGGTGATGTGAGAGGGAACGGTGATGTGAGAGGGAACGGTGATGTGAGAGGGAACGGTGATGTGAGAGGGAACGGTGATGTGAGAGGGAACGGTGATGTGAGAGGGAACGGTGATGTGAGAGGGAACGGTGATGTGAGAGGGAACGGTGATGTGAGAGGGAACGGTGATGTGAGAGGGAACGGTGATGTGAGAGGGAACGGTGATGTGAGAGGGAACGGTGATGTGAGAGGGAACGGTGATGTGAGAGGGAACGGTGATGTGAGAGGGAACGGTGATGTGAGAGGGAACGGTGATGTGAGAGGGAACGGTGATGTGAGAGGGAACGGTGATGTGAGAGGGAACGGTGATGTGAGAGGGAACGGTGATGTGAGAGGGAACGGTGATGTGAGAGGGAACGGTGATGTGAGAGGGAACGGTGATGTGAGAGGGAACGGTGATGTGAGAGGGAACGGTGATGTGAGAGGGAACGGTGATGTGAGAGGGAACGGTGATGTGAGAGGGAACGGTGATGTGAGAGGGAACGGTGATGTGAGAGGGAACGGTGATGTGAGAGGGAACGGTGATGTGAGAGGGAACGGTGATGTGAGAGGGAACGGTGATGTGAGAGGGAACGGTGATGTGAGAGGGAACGGTGATGTGAGAGGGAACGGTGATGTGAGAGGGAACGGTGATGTGAGAGGGAACGGTGATGTGAGAGGGAACGGTGATGTGAGAGGGAACGGTGATGTGAGAGGGAACGGTGATGTGAGAGGGAACGGTGATGTGAGAGGGAACGGTGATGTGAGAGGGAACGGTGATGTGAGAGGGAACGGTGATGTGAGAGGGAACGGTGATGTGAGAGGGAACGGTGATGTGAGAGGGAACGGTGATGTGAGAGGGAACGGTGATGTGAGAGGGAACGGTGATGTGAGAGGGAACGGTGATGTGAGAGGGAACGGTGATGTGAGAGGGAACGGTGATGTGAGAGGGAACGGTGATGTGAGAGGGAACGGTGATGTGAGAGGGAACGGTGATGTGAGAGGGAACGGTGATGTGAGAGGGAACGGTGATGTGAGAGGGAACGGTGATGTGAGAGGGAACGGTGATGTGAGAGGGAACGGTGATGTGAGAGGGAACGGTGATGTGAGAGGGAACGGTGATGTGAGAGGGAACGGTGATGTGAGAGGGAACGGTGATGTGAGAGGGAACGGTGATGTGAGAGGGAACGGTGATGTGAGAGGGAACGGTGATGTGAGAGGGAACGGTGATGTGAGAGGGAACGGTGATGTGAGAGGGAACGGTGATGTGAGAGGGAACGGTGATGTGAGAGGGAACGGTGATGTGAGAGGGAACGGTGATGTGAGAGGGAACGGTGATGTGAGAGGGAACGGTGATGTGAGAGGGAACGGTGATGTGAGAGGGAACGGTGATGTGAGAGGGAACGGTGATGTGAGAGGGAACGGTGATGTGAGAGGGAACGGTGATGTGAGAGGGAACGGTGATGTGAGAGGGAACGGTGATGTGAGAGGGAACGGTGATGTGAGAGGGAACGGTGATGTGAGAGGGAACGGTGATGTGAGAGGGAACGGTGATGTGAGAGGGAACGGTGATGTGAGAGGGAACGGTGATGTGAGAGGGAACGGTGATGTGAGAGGGAACGGTGATGTGAGAGGGAACGGTGATGTGAGAGGGAACGGTGATGTGAGAGGGAACGGTGATGTGAGAGGGAACGGTGATGTGAGAGGGAACGGTGATGTGAGAGGGAACGGTGATGTGAGAGGGAACGGTGATGTGAGAGGGAACGGTGATGTGAGAGGGAACGGTGATGTGAGAGGGAACGGTGATGTGAGAGGGAACGGTGATGTGAGAGGGAACGGTGATGTGAGAGGGAACGGTGATGTGAGAGGGAACGGTGATGTGAGAGGGAACGGTGATGTGAGAGGGAACGGTGATGTGAGAGGGAACGGTGATGTGAGAGGGAACGGTGATGTGAGAGGGAACGGTGATGTGAGAGGGAACGGTGATGTGAGAGGGAACGGTGATGTGAGAGGGAACGGTGATGTGAGAGGGAACGGTGATGTGAGAGGGAACGGTGATGTGAGAGGGAACGGTGATGTGAGAGGGAACGGTGATGTGAGAGGGAACGGTGATGTGAGAGGGAACGGTGATGTGAGAGGGAACGGTGATGTGAGAGGGAACGGTGATGTGAGAGGGAACGGTGATGTGAGAGGGAACGGTGATGTGAGAGGGAACGGTGATGTGAGAGGGAACGGTGATGTGAGAGGGAACGGTGATGTGAGAGGGAACGGTGATGTGAGAGGGAACGGTGATGTGAGAGGGAACGGTGATGTGAGAGGGAACGGTGATGTGAGAGGGAACGGTGATGTGAGAGGGAACGGTGATGTGAGAGGGAACGGTGATGTGAGAGGGAACGGTGATGTGAGAGGGAACGGTGATGTGAGAGGGAACGGTGATGTGAGAGGGAACGGTGATGTGAGAGGGAACGGTGATGTGAGAGGGAACGGTGATGTGAGAGGGAACGGTGATGTGAGAGGGAACGGTGATGTGAGAGGGAACGGTGATGTGAGAGGGAACGGTGATGTGAGAGGGAACGGTGATGTGAGAGGGAACGGTGATGTGAGAGGGAACGGTGATGTGAGAGGGAACGGTGATGTGAGAGGGAACGGTGATGTGAGAGGGAACGGTGATGTGAGAGGGAACGGTGATGTGAGAGGGAACGGTGATGTGAGAGGGAACGGTGATGTGAGAGGGAACGGTGATGTGAGAGGGAACTGATGAAGTGAGAGGAACGGTGATGTGAGAGGGAACGGTGATGTGAGAGGGAACGGTGATGTGAGAGGGAACGGTGATGTGAGAGGGAACGGTGATGTGAGAGGGAACGGTGATGTGAGAGGGAACGGTGATGTGAGAGGGAACGGTGATGTGAGAGGGAACGGTGATGTGAGAGGGAACGGTGATGTGAGAGGGAACGGTGATGTGAGAGGGAACGGTGATGTGAGAGGGAACGGTGATGTGAGAGGAACGGTGATGTGAGAGGGAACGGTGATGTGAGAGGGAACGGTGATGTGAGAGGGAACGGTGATGTGAGAGGGAACGGTGATGTGAGAGGGAACGGTGATGTGAGAGGGAACGGTGATGTGAGAGGGAACGGTGATGTGAGAGGGAACGGTGATGTGAGAGGGAACGGTGATGTGAGAGGGAACGGTGATGTGAGAGGGAACGGTGATGTGAGAGGGAACGGTGATGTGAGAGGGAACGGTGATGTGAGAGGGAACGGTGATGTGAGAGGGAACGGTGATGTGAGAGGGAACGGTGATGTGAGAGGGAACGGTGATGTGAGAGGGAACGGTGATGTGAGAGGGAACGGTGATGTGAGAGGGAACGGTGATGTGAGAGGGAACGGTGATGTGAGAGGGAACGGTGATGTGAGAGGGAACGGTGATGTGAGAGGGAACGGTGATGTGAGAGGGAACGGTGATGTGAGAGGGAACGGTGATGTGAGAGGGAACGGTGATGTGAGAGGGAACGGTGATGTGAGAGGGAACGGTGATGTGAGAGGGAACGGTGATGTGAGAGGGAACGGTTGATGTGAGAGGGAACGGTGATGTGAGAGGGAACGGTGATGTGAGAGGGAACGGTGATGTGAGAGGGAACGGTGATGTGAGAGGGAACGGTGATGTGAGAGGGGGAACGGTGATGTGAGAGGGAACGGTGATGTGAGAGGGAACGGTGATGTGAGAGGGAACGGTGATGTGAGAGGGAACGGTGATGTGAGAGGGAACGGTGATGTGAGAGGGAACGGTGATGTGAGAGGGAACGGTGATGTGAGAGGGAACGGTGATGTGAGAGGGAACGGTGATGTGAGAGGGAACGGTGATGTGAGAGGGAACGGTGATGTGAAGAGGGAACGGGTGAATGTGAGAGGGGAACGGTGATGTGAGAGGGAACGGTGATGTGAGAGGGAACGGGTGGATGTGAGAGGGAACGGTGATGTGAGAGGGAACGGTGATGTGAGAGGGAACGGTGATGTGAGAGGGAACGGTGATGTGAGAGGGAACGGTGATGTGAGAGGGAACGGTGATGTGAGAGGGAACGGTGATGTGAGAGGGAACGGTGATGTGAGAGGGATGGGGCTGAGCTGTGCCGTGTTTACTCACGTTCCTCGTCCCTCTCGCCCTTCAACTTTCCTTCAATCCACTTTCCTTCAATCCACTTTCCTTCAATCCACCCCTCTCTCCCACTGTTCCTCGCACTGTCCGTCCTATCCATCATAGGGTCCCGCTTAACCCTCTCTGCCTCACCAATCACTCGTGTCCCGTCCGTCATTCCCCTGGCCCGGCCCCTCCCTGCCTTCCTCATTCGCACCATCTGTCGGTGGCCCTGCTCGTCCGCCTCACGCCCGCTGCACTCATCGCCCGCCCCCATCCCATTGTGCTCTGCCCCTCCGCTTCACACCTTGCTTTGTCCGCGTGCGCGCCTGCGCAAGGGACCATGGTCCATGCCTGTAGGCTGTATCCCTCTCTCCTCATCAAACCGCTCCAAACTTCCCCCCGTGCCCTCCCAACCCGCTCCCGCTGTGGCAGGTGGCAGGCGCAGCTGGCAGCGAAGGCGGGGCATCAGGGGGAGAAGGCGGCAGGGGCAGTGGCGGTGGCGGATGGGGGGAACGGGCAGGCGGGCATGGACGCCGCTCGGGCCCAGATGAGGCAGTGGTGAGGGGAGCCATGGGCGAGGGAACAGGGCGTGTTGGGAGTGTGCTGTGTGTTGGGAGTGTGCTGTGTGTTGGGAGTGTGCTGTGTGTTGGGAGTGTGCTGTGTGTTGGGAGTGTGCTGTGTGTTGGGAGTGTGCTGTGTGTTGGAGGCGGAATGTCGGGGCAGAGGTGCTTTTAACCTCCAGCATTCGCCTGTGCTGTCTCGTCGCCCCCACTTGCCGGCACGATGAACGGCTCAGTATCCACCGCCCTGACGTCTTGCAGAATGTGGCTCCGTTGCGCCTCGTCCCCCCCTCCCATCCGCCCCTGCCCCTCCACCCGTATCAACACATCCCGCCCTGCCTCTCAACGTCATTCTCCAATGCCCCCACCATCGCCACCCGCTCTCTTGGCCACCGTCCCTGCGTGCAGGTGGGCGGCACAGCAGGCGGGCAAGGCAGAGCGCGCGGGCGTGGAGGTCTCCAAGGCGCAGATGCGTGGCTGGTGGTGAGGGGGGGGGGAGGAGGGAGGGAGGGGGTTTCAAGAGGTAGGGGGGAAAAGGAACGGGTTGATGAAGGGAGAACGGGTAAGGGAGTGGTGAGGGGATGGTGAAGGGAGGAAGAGGGGGACTGGGAGTGGTGAGGAGGCCAGAGATAGCAGGGCGAGTGTGGCGGTATTGGTGTCAGTCATTCATTCAGTGCTGCGAGCCAGGCAGTGCTGTGGAAAATGCACGTCTGTTCTTTCTCTCGGCACGTGCACGGTCATTTTTTACCACGCCTTTTCCTTCCCGTGCTGCCCGTGTCTTCATGCCTGAAACGTCCTCCTCATCAAACCCTTCGTTCTGCCCACCAGGTGGTTGGAGCAGCAGCAGGGCAAGGCGATGGATGCAGCACGAGCAGAGATGAGGGCATGGTGAGAGCACGAGCAGAGATGAGGGCATGGTGAGAGCACGAGCAGAGATGAGGGCATGGTGAGAGCACGAGTGAGGTGGAGGTTGCATGTGACTTCTTTGTGGCTTTCCACTTCTCACACTCACCATCACTTCTACCCTTTCTTCCAATGGCCCTTGATAGCTTCTCTTTTGTTTGTTTCTTTCATTGAATCTGCTTGTCACACACTGTTCTCATGCACACCCATTCTATCCATTTCTCACACCATCATCCCATGTTCCGCCTCCATGTGCCTTTCCTTTCACACTGAATATGCATGCATGGCCTGTTTGTATGCCACCACATGCATGCCCGTACTGTTAGAATATATTGTCTACTCTTTTAGCCTACATAGCTAATAAGACTTGGGTAGTTATAAGCATCGTATTCCAGCTTGAGTATAGTTACCCTAATTGGGGATGGGATCCCAAAGTTGGGTTCTCATCCTTGCCATTATTGGCCCTCAATTGGTTGAGTTCCCGATTATTGGCCACCCCCAATAATTCTGGCCACTCTGGCCAAAATTATTGGGGTTACCAATTATTGTGCTCTCCTCCCTAATCAACTATTCAATTTCACTTTTTCTCACATGGTAATCAGAGCCTTATGGCTCATGCCCCTCTTTGTTGATCCTAGTTCCTACCCTTATGGCGCACAAATTTCTCCCCACCTCCCTAATGCCTCTCTCAACATCCCCACATCTCTCCTAGAGACGTCTCTCCCGTCCGTCCGCGTCGCCCCGTCCTGTCCATCTGCGCCGTCCGTCCAAGTCGCTCCTTCCCGCGTCCCTCCATGGCGTCCGTTCGCGTTGCCCAGTCCCATCCGTCTGCGTCGCCTCGTCCCATCTGTCCCCGTCGCCCTGTCCCGTCCATCCGCTCCCTCCATTCGCGTCCCCCCGTCCCATCCGTCCACGTCGCGCTGTCCCGTCCACGTTGCGCTGTCCCGTCTGTCCGCGCCGTCCGTCCGCGCTGTCCGTCCGCGTCGCCCCATCCCGTCCGTCTGCCTCGCTCCGTCCCATCCATCTGCGCCCTCCGTCCGCGCTACCCCGTCCCATCCGTCCCCGCCACGCCGTCCCGCGCCCTCTGTTCGCGTCGCTCTGTCCCGTCCGTCTGCCTTGCGTCGTCCTGCCTGTCCTCCCACTCTACCCTCAGCATCCCCCAGCTTGCCTTCCGCCCGTCCGCCCCCCTCTCTCCTCCCATAAGCGGCTCCCAGCACACCTTCCGCCCATCCAACCCCTCTCTCCTCCCCTTAGCGGCACCCAGCCCGCCTTCCGCCCGTCCTCCCCCGCTCCCCTTCCCTCAGTGGCTCCCAGCCCGCCTTTCGCCTGTCCTCCCCCTCTCGCCTCACCTCAGCCAGCCCGCCTTCCGCCCATCCTCGCACTCTCCCCTCCCCTCAACGGCTCCTAGGCCGCCTTTCGCCCTTCCTCCCCCTCTCTCCTCTCCTCACCGACTCCTAGCTCCTCTTCCGCCCGTCCTCCTCCGGCGGCAGCAGCAGGCGCCGCCCGCAACAGCAGCACTCCTCCGGCGGCAGCAGCAGGCGCCGCCCGCAGCAGCAGCACCTCCTCCGACGTCAGCAGCAGGCGCCGCCCGCAGCAGCAGCACCTCTTCCGGCGGCAGCAGCACGCGCCGCCAGCAGCAGCAGCACCTCCTCCGGCGGCAGCAGCACGCGCCGCCCACAGCAGCTCCACCTCCTCTGGCGGCAGCAGCACGCGCCGCCCGCAGCAGCAGCACCTCCTCCGGCGGCAGAAGCACGCGCCGCCCGCAGTAGCAGCACCTCCTCCGGCGGCGGCAGCACGCGCCGCCCGCAGCAGCAACACCTCCTCCTGCAGCCGTAGCACGCGCCGCCCGCAGCAGCAGCACTTCCTCCGGCGGCGGCAGCACGCGCCGCCCGCAGCAGCAGCACCTCCTCCGGCGGCAGCACCACGCGCCACCAGCAGCAGCACCAACTCCTCCGGCGGCCGCAGCACGCGCCGCCCGCAGCAGCAACACCTCCTCCTGCGGCCGTAGCACGCGCCGCCCGCAGCAGCAGCACTTCCTCCGGCGTCGGCAGCACGCGCCGCCCGTAGCAGCACCACCTCCTCCGGCGGCAGCAGCACACGCCACCCGCAGCAGCACACGCCGCCCGCATCAGCTTACGCAGCAGCACCACCTCCTCCGGCGGCAGCAGCACGCGCCGCTCGCAGCAGCACCACCTCCTCCGGCGGCAGCAGCAGGCGCCGCCCGCAGCACCAGCACCTCCTCCGACGGCAGCAGCAGGCGCCGCCGGGAGCAGCAGCACCTCCTCCGACGGCAGCAGCACGCGCCGCAAGCAGCAGCAGCACCTCTTCCGGCGGCAGCAGCACCACCACCTCCTCCGGCGGCAGCAGCACGCGCCCCCCGCAGCAGCAGCACCTCCTCCCGCAGCAGTAGTATGCGCCGCCTGCAGCAACAACACCTCCTCCGGCGGCAGCAGCATGCGCCGCCCGCAGCAGCACCACCTCCTCCGGCGGCAGCACCACGCGCCACCAGCATCAGCACCACCTCCTCCGGCGGCAGCAGCACGTGCCACCCGCAGCAACACCACCTCCTCCGGCGGCAGTAGCACGCGCCGCCCGCAGCAGCTCCACCTCCTCTGGCTGCAGCAGCACGCGCTGCCTGCAGGCTGCAGCAGCACCACCTCCTCCGGCGGCACCACCATGCGCCGCCCACAACTGCACCTCCCTTTGGCGGCAGCACCCTGCGCCGCCCACAACTGCACCTCCCTTCGGCGGCTGCACCACCCGCCGCCGACGGCAGCTGCTCCTCCCTACGGCGGCAGCACCACGCGCCGCCCGCAGCTGCACCTCCCTCCGGCGGCAGCACCACGCGCCGCCAGCAGCTGCACCTCCCTCCGGTGGCAGCACCACGCACCGCCCGCCACTGCACCTCCCTCCAGCGGCAGCACCACGCACTGCCGGTAGCACCACCTCCCTCCGGCGGCAGCACCACGCGCCGCCCACAGCTGCACCGACCTCCGGAGGCAGCACCACCCGCCGCCCGCAGCTTCTCCTCCCTGCGGCAGCAGCACCACGCGCCGCCCGCAGCTGCACCTCCCTCCGGCAGCAGCTCCACGCGCCGCCCGCAGCTGCACTTCCCTCCGGCGGCAGCACCACTAGCCGCCCGCAGCTGCACCTCCCTCCGGCGTGAGCACCACTTGCCGCCCACAGCTGCACCTCCCTCCGGCGGCAGCACCACGCGCCGCCCGCCCGCTGCACTTCCCTCCGGTGGCAGCACCACGAGCCGCCCGCAGCAGCACCTCCGGCGGCAGCACCACGCGCCACCCACCACTGCACCTCCCTCTGGCGCCATCACCATGCGCCGCCCGCAGCAGCACCTCCTCCGGCGGCGGCACCACGCTCCGCCCGCAGCTGCCCCTCCTCCTTCGGCAGCACCATGCGCCGCCCGCCGCTGCACCTCTCTCCAGCGGCAGCACCACGCCGCCCATAGCAGCACCTTCTCCGGCAGCAGCACCATGTGCCGCCCACATACTACACCTCCCTCCTCCGGTGGCAGCACCATGCGCTGCCCACAGCAACTCCTCCCTCGTCCGGCGGCAGCACCACGCGCCGCCCGCCGTTGCACCTCTCTCAGGCATCAGCACCACGCGCCGCCTGCAGCTGCACCTCCCTCCCCGGACGCGAGCACCACACGCTGCCCGCGTCCTCCGGCGGCAGCTTCATGCCCTCCCCTCGTCCTCCTCCGGGGACCCGCATCCTCCTCCCAGACCCCATGCTTCAGGGGTTGCCTCTTTCACGTGCCCAAGTCTTCTTGCTCTATGCAGGCTAAGGGGTTGTGTTAGAATATATTGTATACTCTTTTAGCCTACATAGCTAATAAGACTTGGGTAGTTATAAGCATCGTATTATAGCTTGGGTATTGTTACCCTAGTTGGGGATGGGATCCCAAAGTTGGGCTCTCATCCTTGCCATTATTGGCCCTCAATTGGTTGAGTTCCCGATTATTGGCCGCCCCCAAAAATTCTGGCCACTCTGGCCAACATTATTGGGGTTACCAATAAGTCGGTCAACCTCATTGTTGGGAAACCTCCCTCCCCACATTTCTATGTAAGGCCTTGTGCTCTCCTCCCTAATCAACTATTCAATTTCACTTTTTCTCACACGTACCTATGCCATGCGTTGCGGCATGCTGGCAGGTGGGTGGCCCAGCAGCAGGGCAAGGCAGGGGCAGCGGCAGCGGCAGGCATGGAGGAGATGGAGGAGATGGAGGGCATGGAGGGCATGGAGCGGGGCAGAGCGGCAATGAGGGCATGGTGAGCGTGCTGAGGCCTGCTTGACCTCGTGCTGCGGATGGAAAATCCTGTACTGAGCCTCAGGGTTTAGGCCTCAGGGTTTAGGCCTGCTTGACCTCGTGCTCGCCGCTGCTGTTTCCACCCTCCATTTGCCATACCTCCACCCTCCACCCGCTGCTGTTTGCTCTGAGCGTGCTGAGGCCTGCTTGACCTCGTGCTGCTGTCTCATTGGCCCTTGTGCCCACGCCAGTCACCGCGGCACTTCACTTGTTGGACCGACTTAAGCTTTTGGGAAAGGTGTACTCTTGAAAAGTTGCCACCAAGTTAAGCGCTGCCTCATGTCCCACTTGTTGTTTCCTCTATGAGAGGGACTTGCTTGCGAGAGTGACTAGTTGTACCCATTGTAACCAGGAATACTGCTTTTCACGGAAACTGATGAGGTATCGTGTTGACCCGCTTTCTCCTCTATATAATCTCCCCACGACTATTTCCGTCCACCAGGTGGGTGCAGCAGCAGCAGGGCAAGGCTATGGATGCAGCACGAGCACAAATGCGGGAATGGTGAGAGCAGTGGGAAGGAGGGGGGGGGGACAAGGTGGTTGAAGTAAGGGAGAAAAGAGCCCGTCCATCTCATGTCGTGACATGGTTGGCTCACGACTCGGGTATTGTTGCTTCAAGCTTTAAGCTTAAATAGCTGAAGCTTCACGCTTTAGGTATCTCACACTTAGTCCTCTTCTCCAAGTAAAAGAAGAGGCATCTACCAGGAAGAGGCTGTGGGTGAGCATTTACCAGAGTAGCGTATATCGCACTATGTGTGCCGTTTTCTCTGCGCTTACCAAATTAGCAACCTGCTTAATGTATTTTCCCACATTAGCTTTCGCGTTGTGCCTCTCCCCTTGGCTCTCGCCTCGTCCACCAGGTGGGTGCAGCAGCAGCAGGGCAAGGCTCTGGATGCAGCACGAGCAGAGATGAGGGCATGGTGAGAGCACGAGCAGAGATGAGGGCATGGTGAGAGCAGTGGGGGGGGGCGGATGGAGGGTGGAGGTATGGCAAATCAAGAGGAGCCACATGTCTTGATCTTACTCATAGGCATGTCTCACTCATAGCCACGTCGGCCCATTGCTCCTCCTACAAATGCCATCCACCCGTCCTTGTATTTCTCAGTCTCACACACCCTCCCAGTGCCACTCCTTAGTCTCATATCATTAGCACTCGTGTTGTTTCGCTCCAACGGTGGCCCCTTGTACCCTTATATGAGCGCACCCACGTTGCTCATTCTTAGGGCGTGGTGCTTTGAGTTGCGCTTAGAAAGTTGCACAACTAGTTGCTGTTTTAGCGAAAGAAATCCGACATACGCAGCTGGTCCATCGGTTGCGAAACGTGGCCAACTTTTGCAACTGGCCTGGCCCGGTACATCGAGTTGCGCTTGGATTTTCGAAACCCAGCGGCGAAAGTTTTAACCCCCCCGCGAAAGGGGTGACCGCCTTACAAGCTCGCAAGAATTGGGGAAACCGCTTGGGTTAGTGTGACGGGCGAACTCCGCAGGGCTCCGTGCTCTTTGCTTGGCGCGAGTTGCGTAGGACTGGCGTTCAAGGGGGTTCCGGGTTGCGCAACCCGAGTTGTGGTTCGTGGTTGGCTATGGAAACCCCAGTTTGCCGAGTTTCACGAAAGGGGTAACCTGGCCGAGTCGCACAACTCAAAGCACCACGCCCTTACTGTCGCTCTCTTCTCGCCCTGCTTCCCTTTTCCTCGCCCACCCCATCATGCATGCCGTGTGCCTCATTCCGGGTGCTGTTAGGTGGGTGGCCCAGCAGCAGGGCAGGGCGGAGGCAGCGGCGGTGGCAGGCATGGAGCAGGGCAGAGCGGCGATGAGGGCCTGGTGAGCGCATGGGGGCTTGGGGAGCGTGCTTGGTTGAGGGGTGCTGCTTGCAATTCCAGTAGCTGCTGGTGTCCTACTGAACGATCCGAGCAGTAGCAAGTGACCTCCGCTTGCATGTATGTGAGACTTAGCTCATTGAAACGTTGAGGCTGTGGTCAACACACACAACAACAATGGCACACTCGCTGTCGCGTCATGCAATTGAGTGGCAATTGATTGTGCGGAGTAACGTCATGGCAAGTCGCTTGCCTTGAGCCATTCATTCTCGGTCATCCTCTGTTGCTCTCTCCCGCTCCCTGCGACCCCTATCCTGGCTGCAGGTGGCTGGCGCAGCTGGCAGAGAAGAAGGCAGCAGCGGAGGCAGGGCGGGTGGAGCAGCTGCAGGCGGAGCAGGATGAGTCGCGATCGCAGCTCAACGAATGGTGGGTGGTGCTGCATGCATGGTGGGTGGTGCTGCATCCATGGTGGGTGGTGCTGCATGCATGGTGGGTGGTGCTGCATGCATGGTGGGTGGTGCTGCATGCATAGAAGCTGTGGGCACGAAGCCTTGCATGGCACGTGTTCTCATTGCACCTCCTAGGCCACGATCGCACAGCATGCAATCTCCTCCACCCCCTATATGCTGTACCGTACCATGCTGTACCACATCCGCCATGCCATGCAATTCCATGCCGCCCAGTGTGCTGATCCTGTACCATGCCACACCATGCCACGCCATGTGCGGGCGGTGGCAGGGCGGTGGGCAAGTGGAGGCGGTGCTGGGGGAGGCGGAGCAGCAGGCGGAGGAGGCCAAGCTGGAGGCCATGGAGGCAGGCCGGGCCGCCATGCGCCAGTGGTGAGTAGCGAGCGGCGTGCGCTGGTGAGACTCGGCCAGTGCATTCGAGCATGTAAAGATGTGTGTTTGGTCAGTCGTTATGTTGCATGTGTGATGAGGCGCGACTAGGAGTGACTATGCCGTGGGATGTTTGGATGGCCTGACTGACTTGCGCTGCATCTCCTCTCCTCCTCTCTCTGCGCTTTCTGCTCTCTGGCACCCAGGTGGACCAATCAGCTGGAGGAGAAGGCTGCCCGGCTGGCAGAGCAAGCGGCGGCTGAGGTGGCGGCAGAGGCGGCCATGTTTGCTGCAGCTGCTGCTGACTTTGGGAGGCGGCGACGTGAGCGACTCGGAGTACATTGCCTCCGATGACGAGGAGCAGATGGTATGGCATGCATGAGTTCATGGCGTGCATGGGTTCATGGCGTGCATGGGGTTCATGGCGTGCATGGGTTCATGGCGTGCATGGGTTCATGGCGTGCATGGGTTCATGGCGTGCATGGGTCATGGCGTGCATGGGTTCATGGCGTGCATGGGTTCATGGCGTGCATGAGTTCATGGGCGTGCATGGGTTCATGGCGTGCATGGGTTCATGGCGTGCATGGGTTCATGGCGTGCATGGGGTTCATGGCATGGTTCATGGCGTGCATGGGTTCATGGCGTGCATGTGGGTTCATGGCGTGCATGGGTTCATGGCGTGCAGGGTGGCGTGCATGGGTTCATGGCGTGCATGGGTTCATGGCGTGCATGGGTTCATGGCGTGCATGGGTCATGGCGTGCATGGGTTCATGGGCGTGCGTGGGTTCATGGCGTGCATGGGTATGGCGCCATGGGTTCATGGCGTGCATGGCGGTCATGGGCGTGGCATGGGTTCATGGCGGCTGGCCATGGCGTGCATGGGCTTTGTCATGGCGTGCATGGGTTCATGGCCGTGCATGGGTTCATGGCGTGCAGGGTTGCATGGCTTTGGCGTGCATGGCTTTATGGCGTGGCATGGCTCATGGCGTTCAACTCCTCCAATCGGCAAACGGGCTTCCCTTTCTCTGTTTTCGCGCCTCTCCTCTCTCCTTCCTCTCCTCTCCTTCGCCTCTCTACTCCCCTCCTCTCCTCTCCTATCCTTCCTCTCCTCTCTACTCCCCTCTCTTCTCTCTCTTCCTCATCCTGTATGTTCTCTCCCTCCTCTCTCTCCTCTCCTCTTCTCTCCCTGCACTCCGCATTCCCATCATCGTTCCTTCATGTCTCCACGATTCTCTGCTGCGCTCTATCTTTCCCGCCCTCACCTGTGCATCGTGTGCCCCCTGCGCGCAGGACCTGGTGGCGGGCATGTGGATCTGAGTGACAACGAGCGCGCCGTCATCGAGCGCGAGCTGCGGCGCGAGCGCACCAAGCGCGAGGCGAAGAAGCGGTGTTGGAGAGGGACGTGCAGCGCTCCATGGACCGCAGCCGCGCCGCCATGCGCTCGTGGTGAGGGACGGGGGGCATGCGCACGTGGTGAGGGGCGGGGGGCATGCGCACGTTGTGAGGGGGGGGCACGCACGTGGTGAGGGGGGGGGGCATGCGCACGTTGTGAGAGGCAGGGGGCACGTGGTGAGGGGGGGACCATGCGCACGTGGTAAGGTGCGGGGGCATCCGCACGTGGGTCAGAGGCAGTGGGCATTCGCACGTGGTGAGGGGCCAGGGGCATGCGCACGTGGTGAAGGGCGGGGGGAATGCGCATGTGGTGAGGGGGGGGGGGAGCATGCGCACGTGGTGAGGGGTGGGGGGCATGCACACGTGGTGAGGAGGGGGGGGGGGGCATGCGCACGTGGTGAGGGGCCAGGGGCAGTCGCACGTGGTTAGGGGCGGGCGGCATGCGCACGTTGTGAGGGCGGGCGGCATGCGCACGTGGTGAGGGGCGGGGGCATGCGCACGTGGTGAGGGGCGGGGGGCATCGAACGTGGTAAGGAGGTGGGGGAGGGGGCATGCGCACGTTTTGAGGTGCGGCGGGCATGCGCACGTGGTGGAGAGGGAGGGGGCATTCGCACGTGGTGTGGGGCCAGGGGCATGCACACGTGGTGAGGGGGGGGGGGCGTGCGCACGTGGTGAGGGGCGGGGGCATGCGCACGTGGTGAGGGGAGGGGGGCATGCGCACGTGGTTAGAGGCAGGGGGCATTCGCATGTGGTGAGGGGGGGGGCATGCGCACATGGTTAGAGGAAGGGGGCATTGGCACGTGGTGAGGGGCCAGGGGCATGGGCACGTGGTGAGGAGCGGGGGGCACACGTGTGAGGAGTG